TGCGACTGGTAGAATTCAAAATGAGCTAGTCATCACTGATAATATTGAGCCGCTATGTCAGGAATTAATTATAATAGGAAACGTAGATCATCGTATTCTGAAATTTAATAAGGTTACTTTTAGATTACTAAGTTAAGGTCTAATGATCCATATTTTTTGTCACGAATAATTCATAACATAGCTGCCCATTATCATATATCAAGGACTTTTCAGGATATTGAAAAGAGTGCTACCTACCGGTCGCTTGTAGGTCCGTTGCATCAGTGTCCTTCGAATATTCGCGTGATATTCGTCAGTTTCCAAATTTCTGAAACCGTGCCTTTACTTAGCGAATGTGAACACACCAAACTAAGCGGTGTTGCGGAGAGTGGAGCTGTTCAACAATCTCTACAACCGTATTAATGACGATCTTGAGTGTTATCGGCTTCTTAAGACATAAAATGTATTTCAACATTTATGATACCATCATCACTATTATTTGTAATGTGTAGTAAGTATCCTTAAGATCATTCGGCTCTATTAATATTCATCTACTGTTTGACCCTTGCTAACATTGATGTGCAAATAATTTATTGAATTTTTCAGCAAACCAATGCTTGTAATTCTAACTATCATTTTTCTTAATTTTTAAAATGTTTTCTGCATTTCTATTGTATCAGTAGTACACAAAGAGAACTGTAATCTAAGCTGCCAAATTCATCTTTAACTTTTTCAGTGAGCCATTTCAGTGAGCAACTGATTCAGCATATAACTTTACTTACTTTTGCCTGTTACCCCCAATGGAGCATAGGCCGCCCACCAGTTTTCTCCAACCAACTCTGTCCTGGGCTTCTCTCTCCAGTTCTGTCCAATGTTTGTTCATTCCTCTCATATCTTTCTCTATTTCTCGGCGTAGTGTGTTCCTTGGCCTTCCTCTTTTCCTTTTGCCTTGAGGGTTCCATGTGAGGGCTTGTCTAGTGACGCAGTTGAGTGCTTTTCGTAGTGTATGTCCTATCCATTTCCACCGCTTCTTCCTGATTTCCTCCTCCATTGGAATCTGACTTGTTCTCTCCCACAGTTCGTTGTTGCTGATGGTGTCTGGCCAACGAATACGAAGTATTTTGCGTAGACAACTGTTAATAAACACTTGTATCTTCTGGATGATGGCTTTGGTAGTTCTCCATGTTTCCGCTCCATACAGTAGAACTGTCTTGACATTTGTATTGAAGATCCTGATTTTGGTTTTGTTTGAAAGTTGTTTGGAGTTCCAGATATTTTTCAAATGTAGAAATGCAGCCCTTGCTTTGCCAATCCGCGCCCTCACATCTGCGTCCGATCCACCTTTCTCGTCGATGATGCTGCCAAGATATGTGAAGGTGTTAACGTCCTCCAAGGTATCTCCATCAAGCGTGATTCGGTTGGTGCATGTTGTGTTGCATCGGAGAATTTTGCTTTTTCCTGTATGTATGTTGAGACCTACTGCTGCAGAGGCTGCTGCTACACTGGTCGTCTTCTCTTGCATTTGTTGTTGAGTGTGCGATAGAAGAGCCAGGTCATCTGCGAAGTCCAGATCGTCCAGCTGCGTCCTAACTGTCCAGTTGATACCGTGCTTCCCTCCAGATGTTGACGTCTTCATAATCCAGTCGATGACCAGGAGAAAGAGAAAGGGTGAGAGTAAGCAACCTTGCCTGACACCGGTCTTCACCTCAAAAGAGTCTGTCAGCTGACCTCCGTGTACGATTTTGCAGTTGAATCCATCATAAGAATTCCGTATGATGTTGACTATTTTCTCAGGCACACCGTAGTGTCGAAGAAGCCTCCACAGTGTTTTCCTATCCACGCTATCGAATGCTTTCTCGTAGTCGATAAAGTTGATGTAGAGTGGTGAGTTCCATTCAATTGATTGTTCCACAATGATCCGTAATGTAGCAATTTGGTCAGTACACGATCGATCCTTACGAAATCCAGCCTGTTGATCTCGAAGTTGGGCGTCTACGAAGTCCTTCATTCTGTTTAACAATACTCTGTTGAAGACTTTGCCTGGTATTGAAAGAAGAGTGATGCCTCTGTAGTTTTCACACTTGCTGAGATCGCCTTTCTTTGGTATTTTGATCAGGTATCCTTCTTTCCAATCTGATGGTACTTGTTCCTCATCCCAAATCTTCTTGAAGAGAATGTGAAAATTCAGCATATAAGGGATGACGGAAATCCTTTAATCTAGTTATAATCTATAGACTCTATGTGTGTAATATCGAGGTGGTTAGAAAACTATGATACATTTTTTAAGATCAATTTAAGTACTCATATTGTACTTAAATATCCAATTACAAACCTTAATTGACAATAAAAATTACAAGTTTTTATATATGTGTAGGTTGTATTCATTGCAGATTAGTATCAGTCAGGGTATCATTAGTAACCAGGAAGTATTGGACGACTGTGTTGTCCTGGTGTAGAACTACTCCTCAACAACCGAAGCCCTTCACCCTGCTTGGGTTTTAATCTAGCACCTATAAGTATCTCGGAAAACTAATGAACATCGGTGTTTTCATTGGTACAATTTCAATGTTAGTTAATTTGCAATATGGCTCAGCGATCATCAAATTCCATTAGTGACAACTATTTCACTTCAGACATGTGTCTTTTTATATGCTTATATAGACAGTGAAAGTTTGTTTACAGTAATTATTCGCATACTGAGGAAGATTAAACTCACGTGTATTATTCGTTTTGAAAGCTATCATTTTGGAATAATCTTCCTTTTACACTTTATGCCCCACGACTTAAGGCTAAAAGTTTTGCGTTTACTTTTGCTGTGTTATGTGCTGTTCTTTTGTTTCACGAGCCATGTTTTGCGCTTTTTTTGTGAAATGATTATTATTAGGATCATCTCAATCAATGTAAAAAATGGAGGTTATCACTCCCCGGCTATCCAAATCGTGGAAGGATAATTCTTGGGGTATCTGAAGCAGGAATCGGGTCAAGGGTGGTCTTGATGACCCGCCTTCGCGATTATACAGTCAAAGTGACAACTGTTTGAGGCTGGTCACGCCAGTCCTTCAGTTACAGCATAAAACGAACACCAGTCCAAGTTGCCATACCACGTTGTCACAGAGAGATTGAATTGTCTACTCAAGTCCCATAATGGTAAAGGTAGTAATAGTATTAGTGGTAATCAATAAGATTATGTATCGAAGATATAATTCGAGAGGTATATCCCAGTGAAATATATTCAAAAAGAGAAAGAAATGTAACGAGGAATTCAGAAGATTAGAATTTGTGAGAAGGCAAAGAATGGATGCCTCTGCGTCGTTGCAAACGATATTGAGCCATTTCATTCAAAGTATCTAACCACTGGTTACGATTGTCTCGCGGATCCCAACCAGATTCTTTACTCGTGTCACATGCATCAGTCCAGTAGTCAGTGACTTCATGAATTTGTGCCATGTTTTGGTTTGACCACCCTTAGCTCTTTGTTCCAGCCTACTCATACACTAGACAATATAGCCCGTCGAGTTAGTTAGTGGTCAAACATCTGTAACACAAGTCCCAATCACTTCAGTTGATGGAGATTCACTGTTTGCGTACGGGATTTTGTTATTAGTTGTTAATGTGTTAGCTTTATACTTTGAAGATGAAAGTTGATAGGCCAAAGTGAATTTGTAGTGTCTTGCACCATATCCCATCTATATGAGTTATTCTAATTTTCGAAAAGACCAATTTATCTATTCTTCTAAAATTATCATCCACACACATTCGGACTTTGTAACTTATTCATTGATGACTGTGACTGTTTTTGTATGAGTGTGTGTATGTATCGCTTGCGCAACTCATCACAAGTCTGGTCGTAAATATTGAATCATGTCTACCAGATTGGGTTCGCCTTCGTTTCACTTCCCAGTTTCTCATCTTATTGTCTATCTACATAAACCAGTAGATAAAATAAATTCATTTAACGTAATTCATATTTGGCATTTTATTACCCACCGTCTTTCAAACGCAGTTATACAGAAGATTTATGTTCATAGCATGTTCACTCATTAAGTCAGATCTCAAGGCCATTGAAAGTTTAAGTTTAACCATTTTTCAATTCATACTTTCATTATGAAAGTAATAAAATGATATTCAAATCCTAACCACTTTAATGATATCTTTTGTGAATCAATTTGAAATGTTGAACTTTTGGAAAGTTGATGAGTTTTTTGTTTTAATTTTATCAAAGTTTTATATTCAACGTTTTAATACTTGAAGTCTTTTATCATTATCATCGTAACATTTTTAAGGTTTCTTTTGAAAGTATTTTAATTCCGTGTGCGAATATATTCAATGTTATTGTATTTAAGATCTGCAGTGTTTTTTACTGATACATTTTTGAAGTTTATTTGAATGGGAATTTTTTAATATTTTGGGGTAGAGTTTTGGAGGTTTTGTGTTTTTCACACATTTGAAATCATCAATCAATCAATTATTGTTAGACTATCACTATTAGAAACCTGGAAGCACTGAGAGATGGCCGTTTCATTCTGGTATGGGACTACTCATCAATGGCAGTGCGCATCCACGACTCCCACTCCTCGCAGGATTCGAACCCGGGACCTTCGGTCTTGCGCGCACTGCCACTGGTGAGTAGTCCCATACCAGGACGAACTGGCCATCTTTCAGTGCTTCCAGGTTTCTAATAGTGGTAGTCTAACAATGATTGATTGAAGAATTTTTTTTAATAGTCTATGATAAATATCTGTAGTGGTGTTAATTTTTCTTTGGATTTTTCTCGTCGCATCAATTTCTTTGTGATTATTTTAGTTAAATGACAGCTTGTTTAATCATGTAAGCGTGAGATTATTTAGCCATTGTTGTAGGGAATTTAATTTTCTTTTTTTTCAACTACGTTTTTCATTGAGTAGTTAGTTACTTTGACTTTTATTCTATATTACACAATCATTCGTTTGTAACTCTGTGTATTGTGTGATTAGCATGAATATTAACTTCTTCTCCTCTTCTTTTTCTTTCTTTTTTTCTAGGTAAATCAGGATTTTCTTTCGGTAAAAAAGATGTTCGATAAATGAAAGAAATTGTGAAAGCTTTTGAAATATTAATTGTATAACAATGATGGGAAAATTCATTCAATTGTAAAGAGAAAACACATTATTCTCATAACTATTGCATATCATAATATTGTGAATATGTTACCTGAAGTGAAATATTTCATTTTCCTATATTCCATCTGTAATTATGTAATAATAATATTTTGATGCACTTTTTATATATGTGCAGTAGTAGAGAGTGGCTCACTGGTCTAAGGTATTTTGATATGTAACCACTAAGTCACGGCCTACGAACTGTGCACCTCCTCCTACTCCTACTACTACTACTTCTATTTGGGCAGCATCCTTATCCCAATTCTTCATACTTGAAGTATATCTGTATTTGGTTGATGAGTTAAGAATAATTCTCTCACTCTCTCTCTCTCTCTATCTATTGAATCATGTTTTCATTTTTCATTGTCTATGACAAATGATTTTCATAATTTTTGAATATGTACTTACTTATTTCTGCTTTGTTTATTTAATGATAATTTAAAATAAAAAAAATAACTATTTTATTTTGAAATTGTAGCGTTTTCTGTTTTTTTTGTAATTAATGTACTATAATTATTATTATATATTACTTTTAATTATTTTACATTTATATTTCTATTGTGTAACAATCACTTGCTTATCCAACCAGCTACTTGTAAATTTTATTTGATTGAAAATGAAAAATGCTGTTACATGTGTTTGGTTGTGCGTTATGTTGTGTTTGATTATTTTGGGGTTGCGTGAAATGAATAGTCTTTCGTATTTATTATTTGACAAAAAAACGTCGTTTTTATTGGATTCACCGGTTAATTTCACAGTATCGTTTGAATTGACGTAAGACACATGTCCATGAATTTCTGACATATTTTGTTCAACATCTATGCAGTATCTAGCGTCTTTTGTTCACTCAGTGCATATTTTTCATGCTCAAACTCTAATCTTATTCATTTTTCTTCTTCCGACAAGTTGGGATTCTCCTACACTAGATTGTTTGCAAAATGCATATGCAGTTAGCTTTAGATGACTTAAATAAAATATTTGATGAAACTTACACTTTTAGTGAACACTGACACTAACTGAACAAAGGAGTCTTAGATATTTTACTTTTTATTGGACATTGAAAATGGGGTTATTTTCACACGTTGAATTTGATTCTCTCGGAAATATGACTTGTAAACCATTATTGTTGCTGTTGTTTTATTAGAACACTTGGAATAATCCTAATCTCCACCAATCCCCTTAGTAATCTGACTATATATTATTAACTGAAGCACTATAAGAATATATTTGAAATCATCAATCAATCATTGTTAGACCACCATTAGAAACATGGAAGCACTGAAAGACGGCCGTTTGGTCCTGGTATGGGACTCATCAGCAGTGCGCATCCACGACTCCTGCTCCTCGCAGGATTCGAATCCGGGACCTTCGGCATTGTAGGCGAACGCCTTACCATCGGACCACTGGGCCGGCATCGAACGGTGTTAATCTCTAACTCTGATTGATCTAGGGATTTTGCGCGACCTCACCCATTTGTCTTTAGTAGTTATTGCCTACACCCGACAGGCTTGAACGTCTTCTCAACTAGAACTCCGAGTCCCATACCAGGACGAAACGGCCGTCTTTCAGTGCTTCCAGGTTTCTAATGGTGGTCCAACAATGATTGATTGATGATTTCAAATGTGTAAAAACGCAAACCTCCAAAACTCTGCCCCAAAATATAAGAATATGATCACCTTCATGTCTACCATTATAACATTCTCTTCTTTTTTCCTTATACATTTTGTAAACAGTAACCCATACTATTTGACAAATATGTGTTGTTCAAAACACATTGTGATGTTAATTAAAGAGGACGAATAAAATTTTTTTGTTCATACTGAAGTTATCAATCAATCATTGTTAGGCCGCCATTTGAAACCTGGAAGCACTGGACGGCTGTTTCGTCCTGGTATGGGACTCATCAGCAGTGAGCATCTACGACTCCTGTACCTCACAGGATTCGGACCTAGGACCGTCGGTCCTGCGCGCAAACGCCTAACCTCCTGCGAGGAGCAGGAGTCGTGGATGCGCACTGCTGATGAGTCCCATACCAGGACGAAACGGCCGTCTTTCAGTGCTTCCAGGTTTCTAATGGTGGTCTAACAATGATTGATTGATGATTTCAAATGTGTAAAAACGCAAACCTCCAAAACTCTGCCCCAAAATATAAGAATATGATCACCTTCATGTCTACCATTATAACATTCTCTTCTTTTTTCCTTATACATTTTGTAAACAGTAACCCATACTATTTGACAAATATGTGTTGTTCAAAACACATTGTGATGTTAATTAAAGAGGACGAATAAAATTTTTTTGTTCATACTGAAGTTATCAATCAATCATTGTTAGGCCGCCATTTGAAACCTGGAAGCACTGGACGGCTGTTTCGTCCTGGTATGGGACTCATCAGCAGTGAGCATCTACGACTCCTGTACCTCACAGGATTCGGACCTAGGACCGTCGGTCCTGCGCGCAAACGCCTAACCTCCTGCGAGGAGCAGGAGTCGTGGATGCGCACTGCTGATGAGTCCCATACCAGGACCAAACGGCCGTCTTTCAGTGCTTCCAGGTTTCTAATGGTGGTCTAACAATGATTGATTGATGATTTCAAATGTGTAAAAACGCAAACCTCCAAAACTCTGCCCCAAAATATAAGAATATGATCACCTTCATGTCTACCATTATAACATTCTCTTCTTTTTTCCTTATACATTTTGTAAACAGTAACCCATACTATTTGACAAATATGTGTTGTTCAAAACACATTGTGATGTTAATTAAAGAGGACGAATCAACTTTTTTTGTTCATACTGAAATCATCAATCAATCATTGTTAGGCCGCCATTTCAAACCTGGAAGCACTGGACGGCCGTTTCGTCCTGGTATGGGACTCCCTCGCAGGATTCGGACCTAGGACCGTCGGTCCTGCGCGCAAACGCCTAACCTCCTGCGAGGTACAGAAATCGTGGATGCGCACTGCTGATGAGTCCCATACCATGACGAAATGATCACCCAGGTTTCTAATGGTGGTCTAAAAATAATTGATTGATGATTTCAAATGTGTAAAAACACTAATCTCCATAACTCTAATTGAAAATATTTTTTTGTATCTATTTAATCAACTATCGAGTCAAGAATAATAAAACATTTCAGCTGAATATTTACTGGGGGAGGGGTTGTTTTTGCTATATTCATGTATATTTTTTAGTCTCTTCTTCTTTACATGTTTGTTTTGACTAGTTTTAGGTTGGAAATATGAGGTCATCTCTTTTGGCAGAATACTCATCTGTTGTCTGTTTTTTGACAACATTGCCCTCTATTCAGTGAATGATTTTCGTCAGTGTTATTCTGTTATTAACACGTGGTGTAACAGGTTCAAAGTTATTATTGTAAGAGAATTGTGAAGATTGTTAGAAGCACATTATCAGCTGGTCTTAATCAGATAATCACTTTAAACCAGAGAGTACTGGATGAGTTTGTTTTACCCTATTTAAGATCCCACCGGGAACTTAACACCTTCAAATTTCATGGCTAGAATTAGACTCAGATTACTAGGTCATTATGTAATCGTTTATGAGTTTTACCTTATTTGATTCCCAGTACTGCTAGAGCATCTTCCATTATCATATGACTTCGGACATTGTTGAATTCTAGTAATTCGCTTATTCGCAGATCGTCTCACTAGTTGGTCCCTTGTACGTTTTTGTTTTCAAAATCCTACTACAGGCTTAGAAAATTCAAAACAGTTAATCCCTTTTATAAATTTCGATAGAGCAATGAGGAGACGTTGATCTGAACAATCTGGTCACACATATATTGATAAGGCATTTTATATAAAAACTAATAAAGGTCAAGTAAATAAAAGTCCAAATGAACATAAGGTGATAATTTTAAATAAAGTAGAAAGAAGATTAACATATTATGGGTAGATTGGGAAATTGTCACACTATCCTGGGCCGTGCAATCGCTTAAATGTTTACCAGGGTAAATTCAAGGTTACGACAAACTGCTTATGTATGCATAAGGGGGTTTGAATAGCCAAGGCATCTATAAACCTCAGAATTCGTCCTTGAACATTTCTATATGATATCAATCCTATGCCCCATTTCGATTATGTATTTTGCTATAGATAAACACGGTTTTCTGTTTCCCACGTTTATCGGGTCATTTGACATAACCGATTTTGAAACCATTTAAGCAAATGTTCCATAACCCTTGATTGCATTGCCCGATTACTCCTCCCAGTGTTTGTCCGCACAAACATGTAAACTGCTAAATTCAATGGGTTGTGACGTAATCACTCATGCAGTGTCTAGTCCTATGTGTATTCGTGAGCTCCGTCCTTCCAAATATAGCCTATTTAGCTGCGTAATATATTTTATAATTGGCTGTTTTCAGTCTCTGTCTTACAACCAAACTGTTTGATTCACTTGTCAATCTCACACCTTTCTTCTCAGACAAATTAGCGAAAGGTTTTTATATTAACTGATGCTTACATCTGTTTATAAACCAATGGATAACCATTTAAAATCCATGTTTCGTTCGATAATTTAGCAGTCTTCAAATGTATCTGTGGTACATATTCTTTGTGCCCTATTGAAGCCAACCTGGACTAGACAATATTTCGATTTCCACAGTTTTTGTCCACTGCAGCACAAGCGAGGCTTGATAACATGCCTTTATTTATCAAGTTGCGATGATTCCACTAACCTGATTGACGTGATATTCACTGTGTTAAGATATCACGTCCATGTTTCTCTATCGATTATTTACAACCACTACTGAAACCACTGATTGACTAATTATAGAAATCCGGATTTGATCCGGGAAATAAGTCAGCAACATCGGACCCACTGATAATCGTCGATGTTATCGTCATCAGAACTTCATCCACTTATATCAACTCATACACAAGTTTTAACTGATTTAGAAAATATTACTGGATTCAATGCATCTTCTAGATATCATCAATATCTTTATAACTAATTATATAATATAAACCTTTAAAACATACACATAGTACAACTTTTGGTCGCTATTCGTTACATTGTACTCCTTACATCTGTTGATTCGTTAATGCGTGGATTCATCAGTAGAATGAATAACACTGACAATTATAAACTTTTTGGTTCACTTCATTATTCAATCAACTTTTGATCTGTTTGAAGTACTTCGCTAATACAGTCATTACTAAATAACTTTATCCTAAAATACGTGATTTAAGTTAACTGATCGTATACAGTAAAAAACATTCATCTGATAATCTCCTCTTCCTATATTGGTACGAAAAAAATTAACGAACAATTTTCGGGCACAGTTTTTGGAGGTTTGTATTTTTACACATTTGAAATCATCAATCAATCATTGTTAGACCACCATTAGAAACCTGGAAGCACCGAAAGACGGCCGTTTCGTCCTGGTATGGGACTCATCAGTGGCAGTGCGCATCCACGACTCCTGCACCTCACAGTATTCGAACCCTAGACCCTCGGTATTGTGCGCGAACACCCAACCATCGGGCCGACATCCAACGGTGCTAATGTCTAAAGAACAATTGTCAACTAGTGAAAATTCCTTGGTCAACATTAATGTGTAACTACAATGAATTAAAAAAGACTTTGATACATTTATGGAGGTGAACTGGAGAATCTGACAAAAGTGAATTACTTGTTAACTTATACTGTTCTATTACTACCTTTAAATTCGTCTTAAATCATACTTCAATTTTATTTCAATAGCTAGTATCTTATCCTTGAAACTGTGTAAGAAAAAACACCTGACTAAAACCCAAATAATGTAATAATATGTATTTTGACTAGATTTTTTGGTATTCCTGTCTTTAATTTCTATTTCTCTGTTATTATATTTAGGAACCAGCTCATATACTAATACCTGCACAACCATATTTTAATGCACCTAATCAAAATAATGATAATACAACTTCATGCGCTATTGGTCCATGTACATATATTTTATCAATATCTGCTAATTATTTAATATCTGGTCATATGAATGGTTGGTTAATTATTTGGTCAACTGAAAAATATCGTCCTGTACGTCAATGGGCTGGACATAATGGATATCAAATTACAAGTTTACATTTTTGGCCTCGAAATACTACTACTACTGGTGTAATAATATCTCATGGTCGTGATGGTTTTATTCGTTTTTGGGATTTAAGCACATTACAATTTGATATGACTAAACTCTTTAAACCTCTTGATCAAAGTAAGTGATTAACTTATTATTATTGTTATTATTATTATTACTATTCAGTTTCTATTTTTAAACTGTCTTTTAATGGATTATGTTCGATAAACGTTTATGGTTTCTGAACTTGATTTATTCCACAACTTTCAGGATTAATAGTATGAATAAACTCATTTTATGAAGTTAAAACTTGTCGAACTGTGATCTCTAGGATCCTAATGTAGCGAATGCCGTATGAACCTATTGTTGGTCACCGCCTACCACTGGACTGCATCTCCACTGGCTTGTGCATTAGACGTTTAGGTTAAAGGCTCAGATTGTGGAACCCTAGGAAAAAACCGCCTGCTTTGGTTTATGCCTCCAGGCTGTATCCAAGCCCACTCACATATTCATTAATTCGCGTGGCGCGTAAATATTTAGGTGCCCTTTTTGTACCAATGTTTATGTCAACTAATCAGTCAGTCAACAGCAACGTAGAACTTCGTACGTATGTACATCAATCAGTTCAAGTTGCCATATCACATTAGCACCGAGATGTAATTATCTATTAAAATCCCATGGTAGTAGAGGTAGTAGTAGTAATCGGAGAGATCAGGGTTCGAAGATCTTACTCAACAAGTAGAATCAAGTGAAATAAACTTAAAAAGAAAAAGATAAAATGATGAGGAATTCAGAAGGTTAGGACTTGACATAACACAAAGAATGAATGTACCTGCGCCATTGCAAATGATTTTGAGGTATGTCATCCGGGGTCTCTAACCCAATGTTTGAGTTTAAATAAACATAAAAATCAATAAATATATATATATGTATATATATACACATATATATATATAATAAATATATAAATCTATCTTAATATACCCGACTGTTCCTATTGCTTAGTATTCTCTGGCAACAACACACTCGACAAGTCCCCAAATCAGAACACAGTTGAACAGAAAAGAGTTTATTCGAAGTAGCTAGGTTCAATGTAAGTAAGAAGCCGAAGCGAAGGCGAAGTAGAAAACAACGTTAGTATCTTAATAGTTTTTACATGAGAAGCTTATGGAATCCAATCCACGCGATCGACTAGCGCTGATCAGTTTAGATTTAACCAATCGGCGCGCAGCTAACGCAGTCATGCTTTATTCGATCTATGTCCCAATAACATCACATAATGCCCTCCTGACATTTGACTCGAAAAGTACGGAGCTCTAGTTTGAGTATAAGCATTAAACACACTGGGATCCGATTATATCTAACTGACCACTTCTATATAGGACAAAACGTGTGTTCTAGAGTTTACTGCTCACTACAAAATCAGCTGTACGAAAACTTTGAATGATAAGTTTTCAAGTCATTTTTACAAGCAATTGATTAGTTTAGTTATTTATTATATAAATTGCTTGCATACTCACATATTCACTATTTTGATTACAGTATTTCTCTCTTCATTCGGCCTTATTTTAGTTCGTAGATAAGCGTTGTGACTCAACATCATCATACACCAGTCTTGTTCTTAGTCAGTCGTCAAGTGCAATTTTCATAAATTCTGTCAAAATTTTTATATTCTTCATCAATCTATGTGTATATGTGTTTTTCCGCTTTCATTTTATGTTATATCATCTCTCTCTCTCTTGCATCTTAGTTTTCAGTGAAATTCATACCTATGATATTTCATTTTGCAATTCTGATTTATGGTGTTGTAATGGCGGCAATCGTTCAACGGACATCTATTTCTTAGCACATTTATGTCAAGAAGAAAAAGACAATGATGATAATAATAATAATGATTGTTCAACATCCAATAATAAAGAACCATTTATTGAAATCATTCAACTACCACAATTTGTATTTATTTGTCAACAGCCAATTCATACTATTCAATCTACTTGTCAAAATGTTACAAATCTAGGCATGTGTATGACATTAAAAGGAATTGAAAACACCTATCCAACTAATCGGATACATTCTCTACTTTTAGCCGGTTTCGAATCGGGTCACTTAATTTTACTTGGTAATAATGGTCGAGTATTAAGTGTGCTCAGCTATCCACTAGGTCAATCTATTCCTATTATGACACTTTCTATTCAACCTGTATTTAAACAACAATTATGTCAGCCGAGTACAAATCCAATGCAAATCACTGATGTCAAACTCATTGCTTTAGGAGGACCTAGTGTGGACACGTGTGATACAGACACGTCAATCGATGGAAGCATAGCTTTTGTCCAATTGGAATTCAATGCTCAATTGCCAAATTTGTTTAAATTATCCAAAATCCATCAATCACTTGATAATAATAATAATAATAATGATCTTACTGGTATTTCATGTCTTCAATGGCGTGATGATGGTCGTCTGCTAGCAATTGGTCAATGGGATGGTCGAATACGTTTGATGAATGTACAATTGAAAAATAATCGATTTAAATTAAAATCTTTAGGTTATCTAACTAGTTTAGGTAGTTTAAATGAAGGAAGTTTAATTGGTGAATGGAGTTCTACAACATTAACCCAACCGCATGGACCTAATATTGATCAACAGTCCAGACTGATTCGATCGTGTACATTTACAAAACAATTTAATTTCCTTATTACATCTGTTCCAGCGAATGTTGGAGCTTTAGGTAGTTTACTTGTATGGGATGTTTATCGATAGATAGATAGATGTTTTTTGTACATTTCATTTATGTATAGTGGTTTTTATTTTTTTTAAAGAAAAAATTCCTATGAAATACAAAAGCATGTATTATTTTTGTTAGAAGGATTACTTTATTTTGTTCTGTTGACATCGTTGATTCTATTTTTTCAAATATGTTTACCTATCACACAAAAATTACGCGTAAATTTAAATGGTCGGGTTGAAAAAATAGTTACGTTGTGTATTCTTCTGGGCGATGATATAATAACTACTTGTTGGGAATGTAAGATCTCCAGAACTCGCTAGATAAATATCTTTATTTCGGATTTATTTCATGGACCGATCAGTTGACCTTGAGATCACATTTCCCACCAGAAGAATCCTTGGCTGTGATTAGTTACTGTGTCATTTTAGTGTGCTGTTTTTGTGACTGTCCCAAGGACGTCTCAGTAGAGTATAAATAAACGCAATTTGAGTGCTCGGATTCATTGTGTACTGTGGCTGGGTGTTTGTAGAATACAATTTCTACACTATATCAAGACTTCTTGCTGTGATTAAGTTTGGTCAAGGGATCACAGTAGCCTACCTGGACACTGGTTGATTGTTTTGTTCTCGTTATTCGTCTAAGGTGAACTCGTAATAGTTGAAGCATACGTAGAGATGAACGTAACACTACTGTAATGGAGAATGGAACCAACAGACTTTATATTCGAACATCAATTTCATTTAGACAGTAGGACATTATCGCTAATTTTCTATTACAATATGCGACTTCGGGTTCGGATATATACATGGTTCCCATACGTTTACACAACCGCCTATAAGTGTAGAGGGACTAGGAAACAACCAGAACGCTATAATTTTCAAATCTGAATATTTAGCTACACAGATAATTGGTTTGTATGAATTTGTATTTCTGATCCAGACGAGGATATGTTGGCTGAGACCTTGACCAATAGCAGCACGATTGGTCAATCATTTAAACTATCATGATAGCTCTACTCAAGTCAATGTGGATAATTAGTGATTGTGAATCAATAATTGAACTAATGAACCAATCACATTTAGGATATTGGCTAATAAATGTTCGCACGAATTTCGAAATCTGATGGTGAATAGCTTGTTTCTTATTAAAAGCTAAGTAAATATTACCAGCAATTAGTTATACGGATGCTTTATGTTGAAAACATAGGAAGACTAAAGTGTAAGGATAATAATTTATGATTTTTTGAGGTGAATATTTCGATATTTGAAATCACGAAACTAAATGGATATTTCTGTATTCTTATGGCTTCACATCATCCGTGACTATCACTCCTCACACTAGACCAAGCTCGTATACCCATCTTCTTAGTTTAGACTTTTACATTTACACATTTTTGAAACCATGAATCGATCAATGTTAGACCACCATTAGAAACCTGGAAGCACTGGACTCCTCAGCAGTGCGCATCCACGACTCCTGCACCCCGCAGGATTCGAACCCAGGACCTTCGGTATTGTGCGCGAACGCCCTAACCGTTAGACCACTGAGCCGGTACCCGACGGTGTTAATGTCTAACTTGATCAAATTCACGGATATTGAGGATATTATACGGTAAACTATTCGGTCATATAAACTACATTTTGACTGGCTATAAGATGACTTAACTATTCAAGGTCATTTCAGGAGTTTATGAATATAGCTAATAATTTATACTTCTATCCAACTATGAAAATAAGATCAAAACACTGGAATGATGAATTAGTGATCGTATTAAGAGGATTGGATTTTTTCACAACAAATAGTTTATTAATCATTTCTTACTCAAGCATTATTCACTACTTCTCATATGCATATATTTATTGAGCTCATGTAAAGAAAGAATACATATGTTTAGTTTTTAAATGCCTGAGTCTAAGCTTACTGATCTTTGTAAAGTATTAAATATCACCTTAATTTTTTTTACATACTAATGCTAAAACACCTACAGTTGATTTTTTGAAGTCACTTGGTTCTTTGTTTTACTTCTTTACACCTGTTACCCCCAATAGAGCATCGGCTGACGACCAGCATTCTTGAACTTACTGTGTTCTGGGTCTTCGCATCTACATCAGACACACCTTGTCAATCAATGATGCTGCCCAGATATCTAAAGGTTTTTAAATCTTCCCCGTCAAGTGTGATTTGTTTGGTTTATCGTAGGATCCTGCTTTTTCCCTTCTGCATGTTGAGGCCTATTACTGCAGAGGCTGATGGTACACTTGCCATCTTAATCGTCTGCATTTGTTGTTTTGTGTACGGTTGAAGATCTAAGTGATCCACAAAGTCCAAATCGTCCAGGTTTATCCACGCTGTCCATTGGAGCCTTTGATTCTCCTGATATATTGATGTCTTCAGTATCCAATCAACCACCAGGAGGAAGGAAAAGGGTGACAGTGAGCAACAGTGTTTCTACCCAGTTTTCACGTGGAATGATTATCTCGCATATTTATTAAACTACCAATTGATACAAGTCTATATATATATATATATATATATATATATATATATATATATATATATATATATATAAATTTATAGAAAACCTATAGTACCCAATATTTCCAGAAGAATTAACAGTGAATAAACCACCAAGTATTTTAAGTATTACAATTATCACACAGAAGATTGTCGAATATGAAGAAATAAAAAGCAACAATAATGAAGTTATGTAATTTGTTGTATTTTCAAGGTTTATTTCACTGATATACCTAAATAGACAAGCATTAAACATCTAAAAGCGCTGAGGAATTATTTCGTTCAATTGTAAGACTCATTTGTCATATCATACCAGGTACATGATTTACTACCCAAATTGAAGAATCAGGGTATAAAGCCAGTGTTATTTTATTTAACACAGTAACAAACAGTTTACAGTCAAAGTACAAATACTTAACTATCAGAAAACCACAAATTAAAGTTAGTGAGCTGAGTATTTTTTATCTGTTCAAGTCTGGTGGCCAATTACATTTTAAACTCAGTCTCATTTATAGGGTCTCACTCTGTCATGTCAGTGTACTAGCCGTTTAGCATCATATTTAAAGGCTAATAATTTTTCCTGTTTCAGTTTATTACTTGTATGTTGTTACCAGATATTAAAAAGGCTTAAAAACATTAGCTCAGACAGTAAATAATCTTCTTTCAGTTACTAGACTGACATAAGATCCCAGTGATTTTCTGTTGAATACAAAAACTAACGGTTATCTAAGCATTTTTCTGCCATTCATTATCATTAGTCAACTATTTGGTCTGACAATATTCTGTCAAATTATAGTACTAGAATGACGAAAATTTACGTTGGACAAACCGTATTATTATTAACAATCAGTTTATCGGTTATCGAAATATGATCAATTCTAGGTCAGCAGCAAGCTAACCAAAAAGCTTTCCTTCAAAAAAATGAGGTGTTTCGTACCTCTACTTCAAACTCTAGTGCCTCCCTTGAAATGTTCAGGTTTACATAATCCAGTCAGCAACTAGAAGAACGGGAATGGGTGAGTGTAGGCAACCTTGAATAATGGTTTGAACCATTTACTCTACTACTCAAATTGCAAAACCTACAAACACGAAATTAAATTATTATTCGATGAAATTCAGACTTCAATTAAGCACTGGGGTTATTTATCTACATAGTGCTATTTAAATAGTTGTTGAAACCCTACATGAATCCATTGCTTTACCAGGTATAGAATTAGAAATCACAATTACTCGAATATCTTTCAATAAGTAAATAGTTAAACAGCAGACGTTATTGATATAAAACCTACTCCCATGTGATTGTTTTTATCGTTTTTCGGTGATTTTATTACACTCCTTATTCCTTGGAATTGCCAAAGACAAAATCTGGTATATTGTCGAAACATTGAGTCAACTAATATTGTCTAACAGTACAATATTGAATTGATCATATAAATACTTTGCCTGAATATATAAACCTCAAGAAACAGCTAGGTAGTTCACCCTACTGATTTATATATATATATATATATAGTTCTACTGTATGGAGCGGAAACTTGGAGAACTACGAAAGGCATCATCCAGAAGATACAAGTGTTTATTAACAGTTGTCTACACAAAATACTCCGGATTCGTTGGCCAGACACCATCAGCAACAACTTACTGCGCGAGAGAACAAACCAGATACCAGTGGAGGAGGAAATCAGGAAGAAGCGGTGGAAGTGGATAGGACACACTACGAAAAGCACCTAACTGCATCACGAGACAAGCCCTCACATGGAACCCTCAAGGCAAAAGGAAAAGAGGAAGGCCAAGGAACATACTACGCCGAGAAACAGAGAAACAAATGAGAGGAATGAACAAACATTGGACAGAACTGGAGAGAGAAGCCCAGGACAGAGTTGGTTGGCGAAAACTGGTGCGCGGCCTATGCTCCATTTGGGGTAACAGGCGTAAGTAAGCAAGTAAATGTATATATATATATATATATCATCGCTATTATATCAGTTGTCAAGTACTTCCTCTACACGTGATTGATCACTGAGTAGCAGTAATCAATGTCATGCTTGCCCAGTCCTATTAATATTGATCCAATTCTGTTGATTTATTCATAGTTAGTAGGAAGTAGTACCAGATGTAAACATAACCTACGTAGCTCAGTTAATAAACACTAGTTTCACTTTTCGAATCATTATTGTTGCACATAAAAAGCAGGAAATTGAACAGAAGTTTTATTTATTACTGGTGATATACATATTTATGCATATCTATGTATATATATATATTCAAATATTATGCTAAATACAACGTAAATACCACTAAAAGCAATTCAACATGAAAAAGACAACATCATTGAGACAAGAAGTATATATGTATATATATATATAAAATATGCTTTAAATAGAAATGCATCAAAGTTTAATGGAATGTCTGACGGGACAAAAAAGAAGCAATAGTTCAAACTTTTAAAATTTATGGAATGGTCTCGCGTGTTATTCTTTTTCAACCCCTGATCTCATTTTAGGTAATGAAGAAAAGTAGGGTAGTAGTATATAAATAAAAACTGAAATCGATTCAGTGGTATAAAAAGGGCTCAGAATAATAATAATAATAGTAGTAATAGTAATAATAATAATAATAACCAATGGAATGATGAATAGCAACAATGAAATCAACTACACTTATGGGAAATCAAAATTCATTCATATATATATTTCATTCAACTTTAAACCATATAATGAGAGATCAAACAATAATATCTTGGCTGTTAAATTTTTATTTTAGAATTGTTGTACTTCCTCTATCTAGTCCGTTCGTTAGTAAGTTGGTCCATAATATTGACCACCGCCGCCACTACCTCCTACACCAGGTGCCTGTTGAATATTTCCACCATAAGGTGTTTGTTGTTGCTGTTGTTGGCTCATCGGATCAGACATCATACCAGGATATGCTTGACCTGGAGCACCAATATTCGGATCCATAGTTGAACCAGGTTCGCCTAGTCCTTCTGGATTGAGACTAGTTTGATCTAGTCGAAATCGTTGCAATGCAAAAAATGTGATTCCACCCTTAATTTGTAAGAAATGAAAATCAACAGATAAAATAAGTTTTCTTTACTGAATCGTTAAAAAAAACGATGTTAATCAACTTGAAATTGCGTTCGATGGTAGGTAAATTGAAGAATTTGCTTCATGAAACTCTATTCAATCAAGATAGAACAAGAATTTCACTATAATATCTAGTTGTTCATTTCTGACCATGATCCATCCTATATCAGGAATTTTGTCAATGAACCAAATAGTAGAAACTATAGTTTTGATAGTGTCGATCTGAGTTCTAATGAAGTTATTTTAGTCTCCATGCTTAAGTATCCTATTGAGTGGTTACAAGTAAACACAGGAGTTAAAAACTTTCTAGTCGATTGCTACTGAATATTTGTTTCTTTTAATTGTGAGGATAAGACAGGTTTTCAATTGATTCTAATTAAATCTCTTGTAGTACTGTGGTGTGTGCTGACATTAAATTTTCCTCCCCTGGCACATGCCCGATGCTAAAATCATACTCCTGCAGACGTAGCATCCATCGAGCCAACTTCCCACGGGGGTCTTTTGCTGTTTTCAACCATTGTAGGGGCTTATGATCCGTCTCGATTTGAAATCGCCGACCCAGTAGATACGGTCTCCATTTGTCTACCGCCCATACAATCGCTAAAAGCTCTTTTTCTACTGTGGAATACTTCTGTTCCGTCGGCGTAAGGACAGGTCTGGCATACTCCACCACTCTGTCAGACTGCCCCAAGACGGCACCTATGCCGTGATCGCTCGCATCAGTGGCCACTGTAAATGGCTTCTCGGGTTCCGGCAGTCTCAGCTAACAGCTCTAACAGCTCTTTGATTCGGTCGAAGGTTTGCTGAGCGGTCTCTGTCCACGTAAACTTCGCATTGCTTAGCACTTTATATAGGTATGCTGCTATATCGTTGAAGTTCTTCAAGAATCTTCTGTAGAACGCCGCTCTTCCCAGGAACTGTCTTAACTTCCTTTTTGAGTTGGGAAGTAAATGGAGTACCAACAGGAAGGAAAGGAAGCAACAACAGGAATGGAAGAAGGATGAAGTGTTGGAAGTCACGACTCAAAGATGGTGTGCAAATAGAGTATTCAATGTAATGTTTTCGTTTTTAACTGACTCAGAGTGTACATTCGCATAATACAATCTTCCTCGCCTGCCTCAGTCTTCTCAGTGTCAGTATCGTTGTCACTAATCTCATTCATTTAAAAATATTTTCTGACTATTTATTAGTCAAAGTCAAAACAAATTATCATGAAATTAAATATTAGTCACATCCAAAAATATCGAAAGTCACGTATCTAATATAAACTGTTCTGTCTGTAACAGAAAAGTCGACTCTTTATCAACAAATTCTTTGATAATTTAAGCTGAGTAGAATATTTTCATGTTCATGCATTTCCCTGGGAACATTTTCTCTCACTATTAGATCAGTATTTGTTTTTATTATTAATTAATAGGTGAGTGAGTGAATGTAGACATATATTACAAGGCTTTACTAACCTATGTGGATATTGTTAGATTTTGTAACCATTGAAAATCAAGAAGCAATGGAAAGCTGTTTCATCCTAGTATGAAATAACACAGGAGTTTGCATTAACAACTCTACCCAGAATCAGACGCAGAATATTCAAGTCTTATAATGAGAGTTTGATATTTAGATCGCTGATTCAGCGTTCACTTGTTAGGCGTTTGCTACAACACCTAAAGCTTGTGGCCCCGGTCGTCACTGGTGAAATTTCTTAGCGCGAACTCCTGAGGTATGCAAATACTAAGATGAACAATCTCTCCAGTGAGTGGTTCAATGGTTATCTAGCTAAGATCCACCAGTAATTTAAAGTATGAAACAATAAAATTGTTAAAATTTATAATATAGAATGTCTATAAATGATGACTACCAGAACAATTATCTCATCACTTAATAAAATGTATTATAATTCATTTAACTAAATAGTCATATGAATATCCCTAAAACGTAATTCTAAAGTTCATTCAACTTTAGGAAGACATAGACCTACCCAAATTGCAATGGATGCGAAAGAAAAAACAATTGCTGAACGAGCATTACTTTCTTGCCATCCTTCAACTTTATGTTGTCCAAGCCATTCATCAGAAGTATTTGTCCATTTGTTAGCAAGTAAACAAAAGCTAACAAACCATAGAAATGTCCATGAACCTATTTTTTTTCGAAAAAAAAATAAGTTATGTTTTTAAGAAGAAAACAAACAACTCCATAATAATGAAATAAACGATAAAAAAAGATTCGTCGACAAATTAACCGAAAAGTGAAGAATAACAACCCCCTGTATTATTTGTAGTGAGAAAATACAAACTGTTCAATGAAAATAGTATATTATCGTCCGTCATCAAGAGAAAACTTTCTTCAGTTGAATATTCCTTATTTTTTTAATCGGCCAATCTAGCTAGATTCTTTATAGATTTATCCTAATATTGAGCCAGTTGTTTATCTATAGATGTAAAGTCAGTCAGTCAGTCAGTTGCAACGTAGAACTTCGTACGTATGTACGAAAGTTCATGTTGCCATACTACATCAGCACAGGGATATAATTGTCAATTCAAATCCAATAGTAGAAGAGGTAGTAAAGGTATTAGAAGTAATCGGAGAGGTTAGGATGAGAAGATATTATTCAAGAAGTATGATTCAGTGAGATAAGTTTAGATAGTAAGAACTAGAGGTGTTGAAGAACCCATAAGATTAGGATTTGAGAGAACACAAAGAATAAATGCACTGGCGCCATTGCGAACGATTTTGAGCCATGTCATTCAAGGTCTCTAACCATCGATTATTATCATCTCGCGGACCCCAACCAGGTAGTCGACAATTACCGACATGGCTAAGTCCACTCGTCAATGACTTCATGGATTTCTGCCATGTTTTGGTTTGGCAGCCCCTAGCTTTCTTCCAACCTATTCCAACACTACAAAACAAAGCTCGACGAGGCAGTCGGTGGTTAGGCATACGCAACACGTGTCCCAACCACCTCAACTGATGAAGTTTCACCACTTCATCGATTGATCTGCCATTCTTACCTAGTACCCGTTTCCTAATATAGATGTAAAGGTGGTTTTCAAATTTTAATTAAGATTAACTAAAACCAGCGAATCATCATGAGATACCTATCAGAAACGAATTGACAAATGCTATTAGTATTCCATAATTTTCATATATAACAGCATCTGAACACCAATATTATTATTATTATTCTTTTAAGAACTTTAATAACATTCAGTTAAGTCAAAACAAATAAAATAATGACCACTTAACAACAAACAACCAATACATATTTATATCTTTTAAAGATCGGATTTTTCAATGCACACCGTTTATGGAAACTATTATTGCATTTCAAGTTGAAACTTGTACGTACTGATTTTGAGATTTAAGAAAGAGTCTTTGATAAATGTGAAACAGTTAGTTGCCTATAAATTAGTTGTCATAAAATATTTCTGCATAACAAAGGCCAACACTTAAAGCCTTCACAATAGAACTAAAATATATATGTGATGTAAATTCAGTTCTGGAGCTTTTGATGATTACCCTATAGTTCACCAAAAAAAAAATAATATTTTATGATTGGTAACGATAAAATTTGACTGACACAACATAGTTTCTTCTAAGAATTTACAATCAAAATTTGATTTTCAAAAATAATAAATAACGTAAAAATTATGTTTGTGATAACCAGATTTCTGTTTGTTTTTTTTTCAATTGGTTTTTTTGTTCGCTGAGATTATTTCCGTCTCATTATGTATTTTTCTGTTTAACTATGCTTTTATTCATTACTATGGTCAGTCAGTCAGTCAGTTGCAACGTAGAACTTCGTACGTATGTACATAAGTTCATGTTGCCATACCACATTAGCACATGGACGCAAATGTCAAATCAAATCGCATAGTGATAAAGATAGTAGAGGTATTAATGGTAATGAAGAAGACTAGGGTTCGAAGATATTATTCAAGAAGTATAATTCAGTGAGATAAGGTTAGAAAGACAAAGGTACAGGTGCTGACGAATCCAGAAGATTAGGATTTGAGAGAGCTCAAAGAATGGATGCACTTGCGCCATTGCAAACGATTTTTAGCCATGTCGTTCAAGGTCTCTAACCATCGGTGACTCGTCTCGCGGACCCCAACCAGGTAGTCGACAATTAACGACATGGCTAAGTCCACTCGTCAATGACTTCATGGATTTCTGCCATGTTTTGGTTTGGCCGCCCCTAGCTTTCTTCTAACCTACTCCTACACCACAAAACATAGCTCGTCGAGGCAGTCGGTGGTTAGGCATACGTAACACATGTCCCAACCACCCAAACTGATGAAGTTTCACCACTTCATCTATTGATCTGCCATCCTTACCTAGTACTCGTTTCCTAACGACAGCATTGCCTACTCGGTTGTCCCACGATATACGAGCAATGCTTCGGGGACATCGATGATTGAATACTAGTAACCTAGGAACATCTACTCTTAACGGCCATGTTTCGCATCCATATAGTAGGACGGAGTGAACTGCTGCACAGTACACTCGTCCTTTGATTATCGAACGGATATCACGCCTACGCCATAAACGGCGTAAATTGGCAAAAGTAAATCGAGCCTTCTGTATCCGAGCTGAGATTTGTCAATCACCAGGCTATCAGCACTGATGAGACTCCCAAGATAAGTGAAGTGATCAACACGTTCGATCATTACCATGGTACCTTTATGCTAATGTCTACTATTAAAAAACAAAAACCAACAGAAAATGTTGCCTAACTTCATCCATCATCAAATCTGTTCTTTTAAAATATTGAAGTTAAATAATATTTACCAAACATTTCATCTTTATCCCTGACCTAACTTTGTTACAGAACTTTTCATATAACTTAAGCATAACAATGAAGGTTCTAACATAAAACAACTGCTCCTATTGTATACGCTCTAACGATTCTACTACAACTAGCTTGGTCTTAGTCTTTGAAGTAGTAGAGTTTGAACCAATAATCTAGTGGTAACTTCTTACGACGCAATGTAAAATGTCGATATTTCCAAATTAGGAATACAACTTGAACATTTCGCACTATAAACTTTCAATGCCTAATTAACAATAGTAATCCAAGAAACCTAATCAAATTGTAAAAATTATAAGCATTAGGTATAATTTTATTATTTAAGAATTGATTGATGTTTTTATACGGTATTATGACTGTGAAGTAGGAAGATTCTAGTGGGACTACTAATAGTTTGTAAAAGTAGTGTTTACTGATTGATGTTCAGCAGTAATAGAGAGATTTTGCATGGAACTTACAATTTACATTACCTATGCAATACTTACTTATTATGTAAGTGTCAAGTTTTGATTGTTTTGGGTCAGATATTCATTGGTTTGATGACTTAAAAACTATGTCAGTTGCACAGTCAGCAACAAAGTAGAACTTTGTATGTACATACATCAGTTCAAGTTGCTATACTACGATAGCACAGAGATGTAATTGTCGATTCAAATCCCATAGTGGTAGAGGTAGTAGAAGTATGAGCAGTAATCAGAAAGTTTAGGATATGAAGATGTTGTTCAAGGAGTATTTTAAGGAGTGAAATAATTTAAGATGAGGAATATGAAGGTCGTGATGAATTCAGATTAGAATTTGAGGGAACACAAAGAGTGGATGCAACTTAAAAGCTATGATATAACATTATTACACGAATCAAGATAGCTATTAATATAACTGAAATGTACCGCATTTAGTATATTTTTCCACTTTTTGTAGTTTAATTTTCCGCTGTTTTTGTGAAAGTTTGAGATTCTACAGTGATTCAGAAGATATCTTTAAGGTCAATGACAAGTTAAAACATGTTGTAAAAACATTTTATCACAGCCGTCTTTAGTACTCCAGTGCTTCATGCCTACGGCTGGTTGTAATGACATGATTGATTACTTTAGAATTGTAAAAAGTGACCAATATCTCTTGCCATAAATGTCATTCAATATGCAGTCTGCTCTCAACCAGTGGATTGTAGATTTTGATCTAACACACCTGAATAATCTTATCAAACAAATTACTTATAGCCATCATATAGTTGTCATTCGAGTAAATTGTTTTTGATTGATAATGCTAGTGTTGATTTTCAAATCGTTTACTTTATTCATAACTTATGATGAGTTAATTTATGCATTCTTCAATAATATTTAATAGTTTATTAGATCAACAGTAGGATTTCCTTTGCATTAAAAAAATAAGCAAAAATGATGGTTTTGGGGCAGAGTTTTGGAGATTTGCGTTTTTACACATTGGAAATCATCAATCAATCTTTGTTAGACAGAGCACCATTAAAGGAAACCTGGAGGCACTCACTGGACGGCCGTTTCGTCCTGGTATGGGACTCATCAGCAGTGCGCATCTACGACTCCTGCTCCTCGCAGGATTCGAACCCGGGACCTTCGGTATTGTGCGCGAACGCCTTACCATCGGACCTCTGGGCCGGCATCCAACGGTGTTAATGTCTAACTCTGATTGATCTAGGGATTTTGCGCGACCTCACTCATTTGTCTTCGGTAGTTACTGCATACACCCGACAGGGTTAAACTCCATTGGTCACGTCTTCTCAACTAGAACTCCGAGAATTTCCTCACGAAGCTAGTCACTAGTGAGCACTGTTACGATATATTGGGGCAGAGTTTTGGAGGTTTGCGTTTTTACACATTTGAAATAATCAATCAATCATTGTTAGACTATATTAGTTAGACTTATTCCCCTGTGATTGTCACAAGAAGATTTGTATCCTTTTTTATAGATTGGGACAATCAGTGATTGAGACTACTCGGATGGGATTACGTCTAGTTCCCAGATTCTACCTAGGATCTCGGTCACTCTAACCGTTAAAACTGGACCACCATCCTTAAACATTTCAGGGGTAAGCCTATCGGGACCTGCTGCTCTACATAGCTTCAGATTTTCCATAGCTTTCTCAACTTTATTTAGACTAGGAGGACTTAAATCGATTTGCCATTCAGGATGACTGGGGATCGTGGGCAACCGAAGAGTGGCTCGAGGCCAGTTGAACTGATCCGTAACTTGTTCCGCCCATCGGTCTAGTCGCCTGGATTGAGAATGGATGATAAGACCATCCTTTTCCGAGATAGTCTCACTCACATTTGGGTTCCTAATACCAGTTTCCTTGATAAGTCAGTACAACTATCTGTTGTTGCCTATCGCCGTTGCCTTTTCCATCGCTTTTGCTTTCGCCATCTGCCACTGTTCGCGGTCGTTACGTAGGTTTTTTGTCAGTCTGCGCCTAAGCTGACTTAGCTCTTCGTCATATCCAGAGTCAGGCTGGGTGCGTTTTCGAGCATCTATCAGTTCGGTGGATGCGACTGAAATCCACGGCTTCTTCCTAGCCTTATGGTTTACCTTACTAAAAGATATCACTGCTGATTCCACAGCCTTCTTGATATCATTCCAACCTGCCTCCGGATGCGAATCACTCGCATGGTCGCCTAACCGTTTTTCCAGTTCCTCCTGAAATATTTTCTTTGCTCGATTATCATTAAGTAAAGCCCTAAGAGGTTTGCTTGCGGTGTCTGTCCTACGACCAGTAAGCCTCAAACAAATACGTGCTCGCACTAGGGCATGATCTGAATCTAAACATGTGCTCCAGAATGAGCGATAGTCCTCTATCGAACTCCTCCATCGGTGGCTGATGGCTATATGATCTAGTTGCGTCCAACGTTGAGACGACTTCGGGGGTCGTCTGGTCAAAAGATGTTTTTCCTTATGCTTAAAATTAGTGTTTGCTAGAAATAGGCGGTTATCTGAGCACAGTTGCATCAGACGGTCGCCACTGTCTGTTCTGTTAGCCGCGAGACCATAACATCCACCCAGATGTCTCTCCTGCTCACTTAGTCTACCTACTTGAGCACTGAAGTCACCAGCCATTATAACTATACCAGAGCGCTTAACTTTTTGGAGGAGGTCCGAAAGCTTTCTATAAAACTCATCTTTCACCTCGTCTGCACTGCAGTCAGTGGGGGCATAGGCAGATACGATGAAGAGGCAACGACGGGTGTCCCTATCTTTCCGAGTCCTTAATGTCCCGTTTAATCGGACGGCGCACAGACGACTATCTACAGGGATCCAGTCTAGGAGAGCTAGTTCTGCCCTCCGACTCAACACTATACCTACACCAGCGAAACCCCGGGAAGCAGCATCAGGGCTTCCAGATACACGAAGAGTAAATCGAGATGCTTCTTTCTTTTGATAAGGTGAAATCAGATTAATGATTTTACTAGGATCCTCTATGCGCGTTTCCGACACGCAGCACACATCGATTGAGCGAGATTCTAAAGTCCTAGCTAATGATGCCTGTTGCCCTATTTGACACAATGTCCGAACATTAACTGCTCCAACATGTAGTCTAGAACGAGGTTTCAAGAGACCAGGAATGACGTTTCGTGAACTCGCATCGTTTGCATTAGCGGCGCAGTGAGATAAAGGAATGTGAGTAGAGTTAGTTGTGGAGAGAAGAGAGGTATGTATGGGTGTAGGAAGGATTTGATTTTAACCAATTCGGTCTCGTGTGCTGTGTTGGGTATGAGGGCGGTTAGCCTTTCCCGGCTGCCCACACCGTGGAAGGTCGTTTCTTGAGGGACCTGAAAAGGAAAGTAGATTAGTGTTGGTCTTAGAGAACTGTGTGCATGACCGCAGAGCCCAAGGGACAACTGATTGAGGCCGGTCACGCACGGCCTTTTGATGAAAGGATTTCTGAGTATTAGCTCCGCTCTTAAAAGCCCTTAGTGGGCACCCTTGCCAAAGGAGACGGAAATCCGTCAGGTAGGGTGAGGTGTGACATTTCTACGGTCGACCTTTTCTAACCCTTCCTTCCTTGTCAGAAGGCAGCATTGCTGCAGATGCTAGTTGTCCGAGGGATACACCTTACTACTGTCACACCCCTCTACAGTCAGCAGTACGACTTTGCCCTCAGACCGTGAGTAGCTGCTTTTAGTCTCATCGTTCTCCAATCGACCTGCCTGGCATGGTAGAACCTTAAGAAACATATGTTCCAGCCAATATAGCCCGGTTGGGTCATCACGATAGTCAAACCTGACCACCACGTCAAGGTAGCAGCTTCGGTCGGGAATGGGAGGAAGTAAGAACTTCTGAAATATTTTCAAAGTTTTAATTTGTCTTGAGAACGTACCTGAGAATCCCAAATCCCCAATTATAAGATGTTTTCGTCTTTTCAAGTTGGAGATTGAATCAAACATAAAATCGCTGACGAGAAAAAGAATTTCACCAAGAAAGGCAAAGACGCCAATTGCAACAGGGAGATTACAAGCACTAGATGTCGCTCCAAAAATACAAATACCTTGGTGTGTATGACAACCTGATGATATAGAACCAAATACTATCACAGAAACTATCTGAAATAGAAAATTACCAGAACAGCTGTTAGTAAAACACATTAAACATGCATTTAGATACTAAATTTGTGACTTGAATATCAATTGTAGGGTACCCAAGTACACTATGTGGTACATGATTTTTTTCCCCAAACTATATAGTTTCATACAAAAATTTAGAACTCGTATTTTTCCAAATCTGGTGAAATACATACATTCTATCATCAAGCGGAATAAAAACGGCAACAGTTTGATGACAATCAATTTGCACTAAGATTTGAAAAATAATCAATTACATCAACCTCTGACATTAGATTATTCATACACACTGGGATCCGTTTCAATAAGCAACCCTAAATGATAGTGATTACAGTTAACCAGACATTATTTGTGAAACTGTTAAAGATGGAAAGATTATCAAGTAAGTCACCGGTCTGTTAAAACCCAAGTTACGAAGAGTCATTTAATCAATCTTAAACAAATGTGTATCAGCTATCAACATTCAAATATAGATTTTGTTGGATTGTAATCTTATTAGTTTTATTGGGCACTGGAAACTATAAATAAATGATCAGACTTCCATATCACATCCTGAATAATTCCAATTAGGGATTTTTTCTTTCTTCCAAAAAGTCAGCTTCTTTATATTATGTTCACCTAGATCTAATGTCTAAAAGGTATACCACCTCTCTGATCTACCATCACTTCTTTTTTGTCTTACAAGTTCAAAATTCAGAGCACTTTGGTAACAACGGTAGTCGATTCGGTTGTGGGACCTACAAAATCGATCCTGTGAAGTACATTTACGTATATTGACCAGAACACTTCCCACAAATCAGAAAAGTACATAGCTAGCATTATCTAACTATATTTGCTCTGTCAAAAAACACTTTTATGGTGTACTCTTATATATCCAATATCTTTTTCACGATCTAGTATACACCAGTTGATGGAGGTTCTCAATGTATTCGAGTACTAAAAAGTATATGGCAGTCATGATATGTGAGACAAACTTTCAAAACATGGTTACCGTTCACCTCTCATTCTAAGAAATTGGGTAAGAATAAACACTTACGATTGCAACAAGCCTCAGAATGCAGACAGGTTTTCTCAGAATTTCCATTATACTGCTTGCAGTTCCAGACTTTGCGGCTGATAGCAAGTTAGCAGGATTCATTTTTAATCGAATGCAATATCAGGCCTTAGGTTAATTTGAGTCTGCTTTATGATGTTGATTCTGGATCACGAAATCCAAAATTGTGTGATTTCAACACTAGAGGTTCACAGAATCTGAAAGGAATATCATGACAAAAACCAATAAGTTAGTAAGGAATAGAAATCCATTACTACTATAGTGATAAAATTAGAATATAATAGATGTAGATTTTAAAATATTGGCTGAAACAGTCCGCAAATTGCAATTAAAGAATAACGGTCATGGATTCGAAAACGCAAAAAATAAATCATATAAAACGCCCCACCAATCCTGGAGCGAGAGTACAAATATGGCTAGCACATTATAACAATCTAACACAAATTCATATAAGTAGTCATAGATTAACTACCATTTAGTTTAGTCGATGTTGGTTAATTGGATTAAATTCTCGTGATGCATGCTTCTGTTCACAGTAAGTAGCTAAACTAGAGTGTCTGAAAATTGACATTTTTTGATCGTTCGGATTTGTTCAATGAGGACAGAACACCTACGGCTTGTGTGAGTCGTTTATTGGTGATATTCTAAGAGTTTCTAGTCTTCTCTTTGAAGATTCAACAGAAAATAATGATAAAAACATCTGTGGGTGACATTTTGGGGGCTGATTGCTCGATGTGCAGACCTGTATTCCACGAGTATTTTGTCTGTCCTTGACTTTTCTTAATAGTCTGCTATGTCTTCCAAGTTGTCATGATCTAGTAGGTATAGCGGAAAGAAAGTAATTTTTACTATTCTGGACATCAAAATCAGACCACCTCTTGATAGACGGTAAGACATAGTTAAGTGCTTTAACATTTTTAAGCCACACTATGCATGGTGAACCTTGGAGTCCTAGAAGTGCACCGACTGCTGACCTCTGCATTTCTTTCAGAATGTTCAAGTCAATTTCTAAACAGAAGCTAGCAATCTGAACACAATTTCTAAGTCTCGGTCACACTAAGGTTGTGTATACTGTCATGAAAATGCTGATAGGCCACTTGGTAAATGTATTTCTTGGAGAGCACAAGGTTTTGAATCTCTTAGTTGCAACCACACGGCAGTGAGACGAGGTCTTAAGCTTGTGTCTTGTTAATACCCCAAAATAATACCGTGACTTGACTATGAGTATCGGCTCTCCCTCAACTCTTTTCTTAGTATCCTCAATATGCATGTCGACACACTTGGCCACACAGACGGGGATGAGCCGTGAATTGTGACTTTCAGTTTCTTCTGTGGAGTTAATCACTTTAATATCTACCTTCCATGTGTAAGGACGGATTGGTGAGTCCGCTTGACAGTCTATATTGGCAATGAAATGGAAACATTTATTAGAGCACTTAATTCTGACAATAATTGTTATATTGTACTTCTTTTGTTCAACTGTACTAAAGACTATCACTCGCGCGCAAAGCGTGTCTTTTCCATCCCGCTTCCATCCTCGGTGGTTGTTAGCCTCTGCTGTATTCTGGTCCTGATATCATTTTGATATCACGAGTCCAGTGATAAGTATACTTCTTCCAGACAGTCTTTACTTTGACTTCTGAATTTTTCGGGATTTAACTTAGTAATGCCGAATAGAAATATATTTAAATCAACTCACTGCCTTCTTCTTTTCAACGCTGTAGCTCGAGAAGTCACGAGTCATCTCTTTTTCACTATAATTTCCTAAATCTGCTTGTAATGGGTTTTCTTGGTAGGAAGTTAAATCAGTGCAATGTTACAGACATGAGTTGTTGACGTGGTTAACAAGGAAAGGTAACATCAATATCATTGACTAGTTATATACTGCCATATTGTAAGGTTCCGTTAGTAAACAAAATCTTCTGCCCCACAGACACGGGTAGATTGAGGAAATCGCCCCACCGTTATGAATGCTGGTCAGATACACCACGCTCCCTCTTTATGTGCTTTTAGACTCTATTCCGTTTAGTAAAAAACTTCATGAGTGACACGATAAATAAATAAGAAAGCAAGGTGATGGATGGTAATGAACTGGACTCACCGCTATCTTGTCGATAATATTCATGTTAATTCTCAATAATAGGAGCTTTTGAGTGGTTTCTGGATTCGGAAGAACAGTTCTAGAAGTTTAAATAAGAGCCTTTCCCACTTAATCCAAATAGAAAGCAAGTTATCTGCGTAAGAAACGGTTCTATTATTAATTAAAATTTACAAAACGTTGCCTAAACAATATTACACTGTTCTCTGTCGAATTCAGCACAATATGTTTTCAATTCTCGAAGTATGCTTCCATACAGTTCAAAAATTTCATCTGTAGTGGACTTCAGATTCACATTTACCCGCCAGGGTATCAAATCCCATATAGCTGACGTCATAATTAGGTATCAATTTAAACAGCGTAATACAGTTCAGTAGAAAACATAGAAGCTCCAATTTACGTACAAAAAACAGAAACTATAACAAAATACAAATAATAACATCACCAAATGAAATTAATTAGAGTACCAAAATGTAGCTTCGAAAGAGTCAGTAAGAACATATTACAAATATATACATGGAGAGATTTTCCCAAAACAAAGCCTTCGAATTGTATTCTACACTCAGGTACCGAAAAAATATTTAATAATCACTACTTTTGTTGTTTTTAATTCTAGTATTTTGTGCTAGAAATACATTATACTGTATGGCACACGCTGTAACATCCACAGTAGTTAAATTTTAAATAATTGTTTTCTATCTCCATTTAGGACGGATATAATTTAGCACACAGTACACTTTCTGACGTAATTTAATGCGGGTTACTCAGAAACGCTTTGTATGCTATGCGGAAGAAGGTAGCTTGATCTAATCAAATTAACTTTGGTCCGTTACCTCCATATCTGGACCAAATACTAAAACTTTTGTTGCCATGTATGACTTTTTAACACTTTTAGATCAAATAGGAGAACAGAAAGGAAATGAAAGAAGGATCTGAAAATGACATTGAAGACAAAACAGAATAAAATTATACGAGGGAATAGGGAAAGGTATTACGCATGGAACTGACTCTTAGTGGATAGCCATCGACTACATGATGAGTAGTTCATATGCCCTTTTGTACAGATCTTTTCTAGGAAAGAAATAGTAATTATATTGGTTAGGAAAGTGCGCGAGCTAGCAGAGACGTGAGGTAGATATCTAATGTACGGTTTCACCAGAGTAAGTAATAGTAACAGGATTGTCAACTGTGTCGTTATGATGACACACGTTCATAATTTTGTATACTTTAGATTATCTACGTCGGCAGTGAGTCTGTACGTGTTAGACAGTACTACTGTAACTTCAATGTGTGCGTCAGCAGGACCTGAGGGTCCAAGCATTTAGTAGCACGAAATAGCTGGACAACTGGCTGAGACTGAAAGCGACCTGCTCGTGTACAATCGTTTGACTTCGCAGAACTTTTCGACATAGTATCCTGTGAATTTTTGATTGTGCAGGTTACTGAGATGGGCCTCATAGAATCCCCTCTATCTTGGCTCCGGGAGTGGCAGAAGAATGAATAGTTTCATGTTCGAGGATGGCTGTCATGTCTCAACACCTGGAGTTTCATAGTAGACCATCTTATGTCCACTCCTTTTCCTAATACTCGCGTGTACATATGCATCAGGATGTACTTGGAAGCGTTTGTTGGTAGTTGCCAAATTCTGGAACATTCAAATGATTTCCGTAGTTCATTTTCTTGTTGTACACTATCACCTTTATATTTTATCGATCTGTATACCTTGGTAATGTCGGTATACAACATAACTGATAAAGATAAGAAATTAGGAAGATCATTTACACACAGAAAGATTAATAGAGGACCACAAAGTTCACTCTCACGCATCCCGCTAAGCTTCGTTTCAAGGCTTCACAACTTAAGGTTAACACGTACTATTTGTTGACGTCCGACTAGGGAATCCCTGGCCCGTATAAGTCAGTTACACCCAATCCCATTATCCCTCGACTAAGACAAAATTCCGTTGCTAGGGACCGTGTCAAAGACTTTTCTAAAGTCAATGAAGGCCATATATATAGGCAGCCCCTCGTCTCTAAGAGAGTAAAACCATTCACGAGCGACTAAAATTTTGTGAGTCGTTACTAGCCTGTTCTAACACTGTGATGCCTCTCAGAGAGAATATGGTCATAGTCTAGGTACTTGAATGGCTCCTTACGAGTAATAATTTCCGAAATTTCTATAAATACGCTCGTTAGTCTAATTGGTCGATAATTTTCAGGTTTATCAATCAAAACTGTTTCATCACGATGTCCTTATAGACTATCGATAATCCACCTTCGGTGTACAAAAGGTATAAATCACAATGGAATTTGCCAATTCACCGAGTAATTTTGGATGCATTTCATCAGGTCTATAGATGAAGTTACACAGCAGATCGATGATACCGAGTTCCTCAATAGCCGTAGTGTCTAGAATGTGTATGTGGGGGCTTGCATGAACAGAAGTCAGAGGCATCTCCGTGTTATTTACTTTGCTTGGGTAGTTCGGGAATACCTGAGACTTACCATAATCGTCTTTCGCTAACGACACAGTGCTTCTATCTCCTCATAATGCTGGTTTACTGCCTCTTCGAGTACTCCGTTGGTTTATGTATGAGTATGAGCCTTTTTGGTGTTTCATTGACTTACTAAATAGCTCCTAACAATCTTCTAGACTTGGGAAGGAATGAGGTATAAATATTTCGGGCTTACCAATATCCATAATTTGGTCTTCAGTGTCATAAATCTGCCTTACACTCTTTTCCTCTTACGGAGAAGGTTGCGAACCTCTTTATCGAAGAATGGTGGGAATCCCTTAGATTACTTGATCCGTGTAAATGAATTTCTACGGTGGCAGTTCCAATGGGTTCCAATAAGTGCACTCCGAACGCGTATCTCCCAATTCAAGGTCCAGAAAAAGCAAAAATTCTAGGAGAAAACGGTCTTTATTAATTAAAAAATGGAAATACAAAGCAATACCTGGAATTGATGCACCTTCCAGGTTACAATTACTCCGAAGAGTATCTAACAAAGATGAATAAGTGACGTTAAGTCCAACTGCTACCGGATCAATCCATATTAAGCCATATTAAAGATCAAATTTAAACAACATATATACAGATCAGAAGCAAACACAAAAACTTCAATATAAGTACAAAATATAGAAAGAATAACAATATACAATGACAAAATCTCAAATTAGAATCAAATAAAATACCAAAAATGTCAACAGAAAAGGTCCGTCATGTCATAACAAAAATATGTAAACATGGAGGGATTTTCCAAAAAACAAAACATTCAAAAAGGAT